GAAGTAAACAATGTATAGTACCCGGGTATAAATCAAAATTAAGCCACTAAATCTCACCGGGTACAAATCATAGGGGGGGTACTCGAGTTAGCACTTTACGGTAAGTTATATTTTATGCATATAAGATAATAAGATAAAACCTTATTTCATGCGTATTTGTATTGAGTTTCTTTGAGTTTGTAACACACTAATTATAGCACTTAACCAAATTCGAATGTGTGAGTAAATTTGATTTGAATCAGTAGATAAATTCGTCATCGAATAACGATAATTGTAAGTGAATAAAGAAAATGACATACGTATTAGGAGATGTGTTTAAGGCCTAGTAATATTCTATATTAGTCATCCGATTGACCTATCAATCAATTTATGAAAAAAGCTTTTGCCTAGCCAAATTAGTCACCGGATTTATTGTTACATGATTCTTTATGATTATGTAATTCTATTAAGGGAATTAATATATTTTATGATACATAGTAATTAAATGCCTTTTGTTTTATAACCCAATTTTTTATACTAGCAACCTGGTCTATACGTAATGAATTATAATAAACTGAAGAAAATAGAATTTTCAAAAATGCAAACCTTGATAAAAAGGTATGCATAGGATTTTAAGAAATTAATCGTTCGTAATTTAGTAATGTTATCAATAATTAATTGATACTATACTTATAAAAGTACAATTGACAAATTTAGCATTAAGACGGTAAAATTAATTTTAGCATAGTATTTGAATGTGAATTCATATTTCCATAATTAATTGTCATAACACAAATGCGGAACCTCATAAATTTACATTTAATTGATCTATTTTAAATTGAATAACAATTCGGATAGATGCGATAAATGTGTAAGGAATTTTTTTCTGTAACAAATATTAAATATGCATATATGAACGCGTACCATCAACAGAAATAATAAAAATCTAGCAGTTTTATTATATAAATCGGCTTGATTCTGTTATTTCTATTGATGGTAGTCCATATGAACTAACTTAGGTCAGACCAATTTAATTCTCCGCCTCCTGGGGGAGGGGTTATTGTGTTATATATATGGATTTTTTTTTTTTTTTTTTTTTACTTGTGAGGGGAGGCCTTATTACAGTATTAGATACGTAATTATGTAAAGTTATTGAGATTATAATATAAATTGTTCTATAAATTATACTATAAATTATAAATTATACTAACATAATACGCGTTATAACTGTTACAGGGAAAATAACTCCGTCCATATGATATTTTTTTTTTATAAAAGCATTTGATTTCTTTTCGGCTGTTCTCTTGGTACTCAGAAATGAACACATTCTTTAATATAATGACATTAGGCTATTCTCCTAGTGATTTCCAAGTTAACTGTTGGTGATCACGACCTTTATTTCATCAATAATAACAATGAATATCGTATTATATACAAAGGTCAATATATTGTCTTCGATATTCCCGATAATGACTTTGATAATTTATGTGATCATTCATATTATTTCGCTCAAAACTTGCTCTTTACTTTACAGCTTTAGGGTCAAAAAGAGAGTTAGTAGCTTGTTATGGAAAGATTTGAAGGAAAAGGACAATTCATTTTGCCAAGCTATGCAAAATGCTTCCACGAATAGTAATCTTCTCAAAACTTCAAAACCTCGATTCGTGCAATATGTCACAAAAAAATCGTGCAGTGAACCTAATGTTTATAAATTAATAAAATCCCATAAAGAATCCAATGTTTATAAATCAAATAAGTTTCATAAAAAGTCTAATGTCGACCATGAAACCGAGCACCAACTCATTGCTGACGAGAATCGTTCAGAACAACACTGCTATGAAAATTTTTATGTAACCGATTATAATCATTTTAACAATTCCATTACACCACTACTGTGGGACTTGTTTCCTACTGTGGAACCTATTTCGTTTTAAATAAGTATTCTTTTGTAATTTCTTATCGGTATTAACTACAATATTAGAATAATATAAGGTTTTAAATTATAAAATATGCAATTTGTGCGCGTAAATATTTAAGATAAATATATGTATAAAACATGTTTTAAGTATATATTTTTCGTCAACTGATATCAGTTATGTATTGTGATGCTTGACGAAATTGATTTTATTAGTAGACGAAATTAAACCTGACGAAATGACGAAACTTTTGACGAAATTATTTTGATCTATAATTATTAGTGACGAAATTAATTTTGAATTAGAATATTATTCTAAGGAATATGCTGTCTAAGTTTATGGAAAAATTTCTTGGCGTTTATAAGAAATTTTTGGCACTATATAATTTCGTCAAGCATCTATAGTTATGTATGTGATCAAATCAATTTTTATTATTTCGTTTTTTTGGTAATTTTCGATTCGTTTAAAAAAATTGATTTGGATTCATAGTATGATTAAAATTAAAATATAATCAATCTTTTGAACTATTCAATTTGGTACCGTACAGCGCTGCATATAGTATCTCCGGCCTTTTACAAGAAATCTAAGATTACTGTGTGAAGATGGGATACTATACAAGAGGGTATACTAAAAAGAGGTGAGTTTATCGTATAACATGATCATTGGTTGGTTTATGAACGTAATAAATTACTACTTGATTAGTACCGGGATACTTTTCAAAAATGTTAAAATCTACAATTGAATAGTATACTTCTCCAAGTTGGTACTATATATGCAGCGCTGTACGGTAATGATGTTAATTTATAATTAAAGAAATTATCATTCATCATTAGTGATTGTGATGCATCGTCGCCAGATCGAATTAAGTTAAGGTTGTTACCTTCCAATCCAAAATTTCAAAGAATTTTTTATTAGCTGTTAGGATGAAAAAGGTAGTTTTATGAATAAAATTCAAAAATCATTGTTTCAATTTTCATGTTCTTCTTATCCTTAATTGAGAGTGTAGCGATGCATCGTACAGGTAATGAATTTACAAATTTCTAAAATCGAATGTCAAATGTAATTTAAAAATTGTTGTCTTACATTAATCAATATTTTTTTAAAAATTTGTAAAAATTTATGTATAAGATTGTACAGTATAAATTTATACAGTAGTAAGAATAGCAAATTCATAAAATTAAAATACTAGTTGATCCATAATATTTAAGTATTTTAAAGGTGATACTGTATTTCAAAATCATAATAAACCGCGCCTCGATAACACAGAGGTTTGGATGCATGAGGCTTGTTGGTCGAAGGTCATTGACATTAACAAAGATGAGCCACAATGTATAAAAGGCTTAGTGTACTAAGAACACAAGCCTCTTGATTCAATTGCATTATATTTAATAAACTGATTTTTTATATAGGACGTAACTAGGTGATGTCATAAGTCTTCACCTATAGTTCATACGAAATTTAAAAACAACCTAAATTGATTCCTCAGATTTACTGTAACTGTAATAATCGATAGGCTATCAGAGAGAGTTAAATCATATAACATCGGTAATTAAATAAGCGATTATCTAAATTTTTTTTTTTGGGGGTATTTTTTATTTAGCTTTTATGAAAACTGGTCCGAACTGGTTTCAGGACAGGAGACCGGTTAATCATGAGACCGGTTAAAAAGACCGGTCCTTATTTGGTCTTATCCCTATTAGCGACTAAAACTGATTTTACATTAGATGCAGCAATAAATGTGTAATTCATGATAAATTGTCAAGATAAAATACAATTTTTGTTTTATTACTTTTTTATTTTATTTTTTCGTTCTTTGCAAAACTCTCTACACGATGACCAAAATTTCAATATTATCCATTTTTACCTCATAATGCTTAGCAATAAATCGGTCAATGGTCGATATAAAACCTTTAAACACGTGATGATTTGCTTTTTGTATTAAGGTTTTATAGGATCCAGCAAATACAAGAACAACAATTGAAAGACACGACCCTCGAAATTTTGGGGAATAACATATATATATTTGGATACAAAACAGTGCTAATTCATACTTCCGTTGCAGTTTCCAAAATTTGATAATATAGTTGACTGTGGTTATAACGAACTCAAAAATTTGAAATTTCACAATAGTTTGGTATAAATAGTGCAATCGGTTTTTAAGAAAGCATTGTAATTTTCTATAACGAATTTTTTTTTGTTCTTTCCAGAGTCATAAATCGTTATTTAAAGAGTCGAATAATTCCTTTAACGCTTATAAACATTTGAGAAGTATCTGTTATGCAACCCTCTTCAAAAGTAAATAATGTTAAATTCAATCGCAAAATGTATGAGACAAAAATCACTGTAAATGTAAAGATATGAACACACTTTGGGAATAGTTACAATCCCACTAATCATAAATGTAAATACTTTGTGTAATGCTTTTAAATTAATTCATTTGGATTTTGTTGTATGTTGAATTGGAATTCTTTAACGACATTTGACAGAATGGTTTCGTCATTCGTCAGGTATCATTAATTCATATTGTATATTCCATTACACTCTGATTGCACATTTATCATCAATCTTTCATTGTGCCGCTTCCTAATTTTTCATTGTATCCTTCAAATCTTTCATTGTGCCCATTCTAATGTTTCATTACGTCTTTTCCCATTCCTTTTTTATTCTATGTTAGTGTTTCAGCCCAAACTCTTTTACAGGTTCCGGTTTTCGGAGGGCACGATAACAAAATAGGTAATGAATACTTATTTTTTACTTATTATTGCTTATCTCGATTGATTATTACTTATGGTTCACAAATACAAGCAGGTTTATTTTGCAAATACCAACTTTTTATTTTTATTTATTTATTTATTTTTTTTTTTTACTTACTATTACTAACGATGTAAACCAAACTAGTATGGGACAATTTGGAATTTTTACCTAATTTGGGTTCAGGTGCCTCAATTTGAAATCAGAATCATGTTCATTCTTTTTACATATCCCAAACCTTAAGGACCAATCAACTCTACGAAACTAAAATGGCGCAGATGAAGTGCAGGAAAATTATTTTAGTAAATACTCGATTTATTTATGATTTACGCTCTTGCCAGTACAATTGTTGAATCTAGTAAAAACTTTTAAAATCTTACTAAGTCCCAAACTATCAGGTTTGCTAAATACATATTACCATGCATAAAAATTTTTAATGGCAATATTTGTTAATAATTGGTATTAAAATTGCTCATCTTTAGGCGACTTGAAATTAAAACCTCGTTTAACGTTATTTTTTTTTCGTATTTATAAAGGGGGGGAGGGATGAAAAT